AACTCGACAGCACTCAGGCTGTTTGGTAAGGTACACTAGTAGCAACATATTATTTCTCCATCATGATATTGAGTTTAAGTTTCCGTCATCGCAGACTCGATTTAAGAAATCGACACAGATCAGATTAGAAGTGCCTCCTCCGTCAACGTAATATGATATGGCAGAATCAATGACATAGGCATATTATGAAGCAAGGTATTTAGCGCCCACGTTGTCGGGAGGTCACCTTGTCCTTGGTAGATGCCGCGTGTCGGCTGAACCCTCGATGTATCGGCGTATGATCATAATCAAATGTTTGCCAGTTATTATGGAAGTATAAACCAGTGTATCTAACAGAATACATTTATTTGATAAAGTATAAAAATGCTGCACCCAGCTTGTTAACGTGTTTCTATATGCTACCACACTACGTGTACAACGCATGCACATTGTCTGTTTCACGAAGTTGAAAACGCTCAGTGCTTGACGTTGGTGGCGCGTTGAGAGATTTTCGACAAAAAAATCGATAGAATTGGTAGAATTGGTATTGTAACTGAAAGTCTAATTGTAATAATTTCCTGCACACTATCAGCTTTCGCATAATAGTCCACTACTGGCAATAATACAGCCATGAGTATTTCAATACAATTTCATGGTTTCCTTTGTAGATTACGCCAGAATCTAGAAGAATTGTGATCGGGATGTGTGCATATGCTACTTCAATGAATACGAAATCTAAGTATTCTCATACGGGTACTTGCCAACTTGCGGTATCCTACTAGTAGCGAAACCCGATAGCACACTTGAGCACGCCGTTAAAATAATTCGTTTACGAATTTTACCAATCGCTGTGCTTACCTACCGACATTCTAGTAATATTGATAATCACACATAATACAATAAACTGATTTGGACGCGTACATATGTTTATATACCATACTATATATATATATATATATATCTGCTAGTATATATGCCATTGAACTATCGACGAGGCATGACGGTCACATGACCTTCGTGTCATTTGTAGTCTGACGTATTTTCTAACCGGGTCTGGTATGGGGTAGGTATGTTCCGTTATATCTCAACATTTGCGTGTAACTATCTTTCGATATTGCCTCTGAAGTTAATTTCACTTTAATTATGAATGATACAGGTATATGAATATTTGATAACAATCGGAATCGAGCGGAGAAAATTTATACATTTATTTACGTGTACTAAAATTGTACAAGTAATGTTAACGTCCATTAATTGACTCCGGGAAATGAATATTTTTGATGGTTTTTGAAATTAACATGGAATACTGTCGTGGTCACCGCGAGGCAAAACAATTAATACCCGGACCGACCTTTAGATTTCTCTAATAACACTGCGTCACGGTTAAAGTATTGAAGGGCTCCCCGTGTGATCTTGAAACGACCTTTATTTAAACCACTGAAGCGTATAGGTCAGGTCGTCGGGGAAGCGTCCGGTTCAATAACGAGTCTGACTGAATGGTCAGTGCAGTGAAGGTAGAATAGAATGGATCCGAGTCGTTTTTTTTTTTTGTATTGAAGTGTCGGTGTATTGATGCTTGTGATGGGACCCCCGGGAGCCACCTGAAACGCACATCAATTTCAGAAGACTGTGGACAATGTTGTGTCGCGTGATATATTCGGCCAGATAAGCAAAAGGAGCAGGGGAGGGGCTTACATGGGTGAGTGAGTAGATCACGCATCTTGGTATATATGTATGAAAGTTAATCCTAGCGCCCGGGGCTTCATGCGTTTTAAATAAAAATGCCCGCTCATATACAAACATTTTATGCACTGGCAGAATACGGGTGACGCCAAATTGGTTAATACAGGTCAAACAGCAAAAAACATCCAGGACCCAGTGCCCGCGGGCGCTGCTAGTCCGTTGTTTGTTGTGGGGGTCAGACAATTTGGCTTCCGTCGGTCAGTAAAGATCCTAGTTGTCGATTTTCGTTTAAAAATCGATGTATATCCGATTAGTGCGTAATGTAGCAACAAATTTATTTAACGGATTAAATTAAAACATTAAACAACATACAGTTGTTCTCGTCTGCCTGCGATAGATGGTTGGTTGGGTTTGGATATTGGAGGAACGGCAGAAATTACCTACTGGATAAAATGCACCCTGTTTTTTTAGTTGTATAGTTGGTAACAATTTTATAGTTAAAAGGCCTTTCAATTTTGAGTAACTTGGCCAGAAATCAAAATTGAACGGCGTTCCCGAGTCGCAGTAAATTCCATCATGCATTCCTGCTTCAACTTCTGCTTTGGTCGCGCGCTATTAATTAGAAGGAAACATCAAAACATGTTGGATAAAAAACAACTTAATAACCCTCAGATTGAGTTTTCCCTCAGATTGTCCTAGTTACTAAAATTCCTTCTTTTAAATTTATTGGTCCAAATAATATGATGATACGGATACAATTTGAACTTGTCTCATACCTATATTAAATACTTATATCAAAAGTTATAGTTCAGAAACTACGCCCCAAATTGATATATATATATATATACGAACTAGGCAGATTCTTAGTCGATGTTTTTATTAAAAAAACAACAACAATTAGCTAAATATTACAACTGGGCCATACTTGCGTCAAATTTTATAAGAAGTTGCATTCGTCTTGTTAATAAACAACTCAATACAAAATCATATAGCACAATAATATCTCATTTGAAGAACATAGACCTACTACAAATTATAGACCAAAAAAGTAAACTTTCAAAATTAATAGCTAACGAATTGAAAAAGTATTCAATTTGAAATGGAAAGAAGAAATTTTCAACGACAATAATAGAATTATTAACCAGAAAGGTAAAACTAAACAAGGACATACAGGGAATTTAAAAATCAATCTGGTATGAAAAACTACCTTACGTTATCAAATATAGAATTTAGATTGTCTCACTAGATTTCACCTCAGTAACCACCAATTACAAATTGAAAAGGGAAGACACACCAGACCTAAAACCCTCCGAAGAAAAAGGATATCATGTGAGGTATGTTAATTCGAAGAATGATGTGGGGACGAAGAACTCTTCATAATTTCACGTTAATTTTATACCTTACAACGGAAGATCTTACGAGAAGAGACTAACAAACATATAAATAAGCAATTTACTAGTAGTTATAAATTTCAAATTAAACAATCGTAGGAAGTTCTTATATTTAATGAAAAGCAAAAACACTATGATCCACATATCATTAACAAAAATTAATTCTGTATATATATATACAGTATATATATATATATATATTCATACATGTTTTACATGAACTAAAATAAAATCATCTTTGTAGAGCAAAAACTTATTTTGGGGTCAAGCTAAGGTATTTTTCTCATCATACATGGAACTTTTGGCGGTGCTTTCTAGAGTCTCGCGAGAATCTCAGACTAATGTAAAAGAGAAATGTATCACATCGATGTTGTGATATGTTCCATCGTCCGTTCGTCTAACACAGAAGCCTGCTTCGGTTCGATTCGGCCCAACCAAAACTATCATAACTGTTGCATGATATTACGCATATAGCTATTATTCGTACACATGCCAAAGACTTTGCATTCCTAGATTGTATGATGCCAGAAAACCCTTTCACTGATTTCTACAAGCACCACAACTCGATTTGCATTTGGCTAGTGTGCAGTTCGTGAGTAATCCAGTGGCTGGGGGTTAAAAATATACATAACTTTTATTTATAGAAACAAGCATGAGTTTATTGATTCCAGTGTAAATGGGGAACCACTGTAACATGCAATTAGAAATAAAAATGTTAACTGTTAAAATATTAAAAGTACAATAAAACGTACCATAGGGTGTCCCACAATTCATTTTCACCGTCCCTGGGACTGACAACCTTTTGTTTAAATGTTAAGTGCATTGGTATACCATGTATTATTATATAATTGTATTTGTTGTTTGCCCACCGTAGATTATAGTGTAAATATAAAACCTATGTGGGCTTGATGAATTAGGTCTGAATGACTTAATTAGACATTCCATGTAAACCCCGTTTCATGAAGGGTGTTTAGAGAAATTTATCATATTTACTGCACAACATCTCAGAAATTCATTCTAATCCAAAGAATTTGTCATAAATAGCAATATCGTTATTTTCAACATAAACAATTACTGGTAGAAAATATATATAATACTGAGATATGGACCTATTAAAAACTCATTGTGTATGGGGACAAAAAGTCATAATCCTACTCGCCACTTTTGACAAATTCAACAATATTGAAATCATCCGTTCAGTGAAAACATCCGGTTAAACGCGAAAAACTCTAGCCCCATTGTTATTAACGGCTCGGCCCTGATTTCGATTAATCGCACGCATCATGTACACACGGAAAGCTGAACTACAATATTGACCTTACGCCAGTAATGGTGTCACTGTGACTTTAGCCACCGTTCAAATAACCCTCCTGTGAAAATGCTACTTTCGTTTTGTAATCTCGAATAATGCAGCGGACCGGAGCGTATCGATGCCCCGGGAGCATATAGATGTGGGTGAGAATCTGTGGCCAAATACGGCAAAAAGTACTGCCCATATCATCGCCAGCCAATTATCAACGTCACTTCCTGAACTCTTTGCCGCAGCCTTTGGATGACATCATTTTTTTTCAAGGGTGTGAAAAATTGGTGTAAGCTACTTGCTGGTTGGTTGAAACAGAAATATGAAACGACACAGCTGATTGGAGGTGCCAATCAAATTATGTAAATTGCAGCCATACAGGGCAGTTTACTTTGTATCCGAGCAATATACACACGCGTGGTGTTCTCCGAAAGGTCGAGTGAAGTTTTCCGGTTTCGGCCATTTGTATTAGCAACCATTACTCACACGGAAAAGTGTTGTATTAACCGAGGCGCTTTGTAAATTGTGTTATTGGTGAGTGTTGAATTTTATGAGAATTTATAGAATGTTAAGGACTTCATTTTGCCTTAACCTCGCGTAAGTACACACATTTTATTTTAAGCGGTGGGTAAGTAGGTCAATGTCTGGTTCCCTAACAGGAATCCCTGTTTGATTACTGTACGTGAAATTATCCCCTATTTACTGTTTTATTTGAAAATCTCTACCACGAACTGACGCAGGGCCATTCTCCCCTCGGCTACAGGATAACGTCAGTAGCCGATCTGTGGAAATATGAGTTCTATGCTGCCGTTCACACCTCCCATCGTCAAACGTCTTCTCGGGTGGAAGAAGGGCGATTCTGAAGACAAGTGGTCTGAGAAAGCTGTCAAAAGTTTGGTTAAACGACTAAAGAAAACAGGATCCTTAGACGAACTAGAAAAATCGATTTCAAACCAAGACGCCAGCACCAAGTGTGTCACCATTCCAAGGTAAGCAACGAGCTAAGGCGATCACCCTTAAATGCGACGCGATTCTGAACGCGTTCGAGTTTACAAGTACGTCCCACTGCGTCGGTTGTCAATTTCAGCTGATTCGGCCAGTGACTGATGGTAGTTTTCGTGGATGTGTGTAACATTATATTTTGGAACAGCCAAACTGTTTGATACTATTTAATACATACTGTGCGAAACACAACTATAAGGCTTCTCGCATTAAAATGAAAACGAGGCGTTTTATTACTGAGGTCAGCACTCGTGTGTGTGCTACAAATGTAAACAAACAATGACAGACGCGAGTGTCGATAGAATGACAGTATTATTGTGCTCTATTTTTTTTTAAATGTCGGTATATTAAAATGAGTCAGCGGATATATCCATTACAATCACCCCACTCTGTTAATATAATTTGTCTATTGATGCTGAGAATTTTGTTCGTAAACAGGCCTTTGCTTGAACTGTTGCCTTGGTTGTTCAAATCCGGATTATTTTCGTGTAAGTGTAATTCACCGAAACAACATATGCCGCAAAAATTTGTAGTTGATTTAAAGTTCACATGCGCAGTTCAAGTACAGGTCAATTAAGATGTGTGTGCCGCATCAATAGTGTTGTGTGTCTGAATAAAGAGGAGGAGTCAATAGTGACATGTACTGTTATGTGGCATTGTTAGTATAACTGTGAACAGCATGCTTGATGGGAATTGAACTTGTGACTTCCTTCCTTGTGGTGAATTGAATGATTAAGGAACTTGGTGAATAAGAAGCCTCTTACAGAAACATCCCTCTTTTTGTTTGTGTTCAGACAGTCCTTGCCAATCTGCCATTGAGTAACCCCCCACCAAATTATAACATCAATCAATATTATTTGCTCAGATGATGCCAGCGACGTGGAAATAATAAAACAGGTAGATGGTATGAGCAGACAGCCATTTTTTTTGTAGCAATAAATGTATACAAATGTTGACATTTGATTCAGTTTTTCGTGGGAGCAGCTACATTTTCTTTTTTTTTTCTTCCTACTTGAAAAACACACACCTTCACCCTCCATTCTTAATGTCACAAAGTAAGTTCAGTTAAAATAAGGCTCATTGCCTTCCCAACCCTGATATCTACTGGGTAACTAAATTATTGGATACTTTGTATCACATACTGTAGCATAATGAAAGCCACATGTGTTGTTGAGATGTTAATTCCCACTGGTTGTTATTGCATTAACAGTGCATTGATGCTCCCCTTAGAATGCTGGCAAAATAGAAAATAACTGTATTAAAATAATTTGAATGTAGCACACCTGTACTGTTTGTATATTTTGAGTAATAAAACATGTTGAAATACAAAATATCAGATATGTTACAGTCGAGCTTAAAATCTAGGAATCTACTTATTAAAACAACTTTTCCTGAATTATAAAATAGTTTGAAATTTTAACGAAAATTACTTGAAAGTGTTTACAAATTTAAGATAGTTTATAAAATCACCTATTACACTGGAATCAACGACTCCATATATGTTATAAATTATTTATAAAATTAAATATTTATAAACTATATGAACTATATTGTACAAACTATATTGTACAAGCTTGTGTAGTGATGTCTCAGTTTTGGTTCATATTATTACAGTAGATCATGATGAGATAGAATAGTGTCAACCAATCTTAGGCGAGCTGGACTGTCGTCTCATTTGGATTTAAATGAAACTGACTTCAAAAGAAAACTGTTTTTCATATTTAAAAAAAAAAAAAAAATTAAATAAAGTATAAAAAATTTTTTTTATTTGTATAGTATCCCACCATAATTTATAAAATCATAAATTATTTATAAATTATAGTAATAAAATGTTTCAGTTTCAAACTATTTTTATTGTTGAATTTGAAATTTATTGTGCAGCTTGTAAACACAAACTACTCATTTTTCTCCTGATGTGTTACTAGATTCATATAAAAAACATTTTTTTTTGTCGATTACATTAAATTTAGAGGTACCATATTTGCTCTATTAGTAGCACATGTAAAAATGCGAGTCTATAGTCAAAATTACACAAATGTTTATGATCAAGTAATAATACAATAAATGCAATTTTTATGTGCTCTTATATTAGAGAGGCGCTTCTAAACAGCAAACCATGGCAAATGTGCTTCTAATAATGTGAATATGTCATTTGAGATGTTGATTCTAATAAAGCAAATACTGTAAAATGACTAATTTTCACTGGGTTTAAATTTCACTGATTTACCATTTCAGGCATATTCAGTGGGTTTTAAATTCACGGTTTATTAGCGATATGTTTCTCATAGAGCAAATATGTTATTGGCGATATGTTTCTAATAGAGCAAATATGTTATTAGCGATATGTTTCTAATAGAGCAAATATGTTATTAGAGAATCACTTCTTATAGAGCAAATATGTTATTAGAGATATGTTTCTAATATAGCAAATATGTTATTAGCGATATGTTTCTAATAGAGCAAATATGTTATTAGAGAATCACTTCTTATAGAGCAAATATCGAATGTGTGATCGTCTTATAAAGCAGTGTTCGATTGACTTATTTGATATTAGTGATATTATTGATATCACTCCTATGAAATAAAATAGATTTAGTCATGGTGGTTAATACTTCATTGTATTTGGCCAAGTAAAACAAATTTGTTGTTTCTGGTAACAGCCTAAAAAAATACTGGTTAGGGAGTCGAAGAATTTATCATAATTCACTCGTAGAGACTGTTAATTTGATGCAAATGAAACAAGATTATATAATTCTGAGAACAAGGCCAAAAAAAACCCCTGTTTTGTTATGGTGCACGTTTGTTTGAAATCTATGTCTTTCTTTTTTAAATCTTGTGTAACAAATGCATGTATTTGAAAGCATTATTTTATAAATATTAAACCTTGAACTTGTATCTTGTTGTGGTATTAAATAATCCTAATACAAAGGAAATAAACTTAAAAATGAAATTAAAACCCTGTTACTGTATAAGGTTTTCTTGGACAAAAAGAAAAACTAAGATAACTATCTTTAGTTTCAGTTGGGAGAGGTAGATTTGAGAGAAAAAAAGAAAGAAATACTTTATATTGATCACAAATAAAGAAAACCAAATATAACGTCTAGCCCAAAACTTAATCAATTATTGATTAATTTTTTAACAGTTTTTTTACCATCTTCTATCCCAGAGTTCATTATCAACCATTAACAATGGTCGATGTCAAATGAGGTCTTCGTAATATTGACTACAATAAAATACTTTATTTTAGCTGGAATTTATTTTCACAAATTTTTTTCACCAATTCAATGTAAAATATGGAAAAAAAGGTATATTTGCTGGGTCTTGCCGGGTATTTTCACTGAATCAGCGAAAAATAGCGAAAATTAATTCCAAGTGAAAATAAAGTATTTTACAGTACTCTTCTGTTGAGGACATTTTTTATTTAGTAATTTGTCTAGGATATTCGTAAATATTCAGTTTTATATATTCACCGTTTATCTTTGAACTTAAAATGAGATTAATTCTCTATGATTAGAAGCATAGATTTTATGTCTTAAAAGATTACTACATTTAAAAATAACTTATGAACTTCATTTGACCCCTAACCTAATATGTGTTTCATTGAGAACCTTAGTAAATGTTCACAGGTGGTAGTTAGTTCAGTCAAATAGTAGTTCGAAACAGGAATTAATTTTTTTTCAGGTTTGTCATTTCATGCCTGGACTGATTTTGTTAAAAGTTGGTATAAAGACCCATCATTTAATAATGATCACTTTTGATGTATGTAAAATCTGTATTAGAAACCGCAGCTTCTATTAAAATGGTACAATGCAACAGAGAGGATGCGGCTTCTATTAGAACACCTACACATATGAGAGATAGTAAAATTTAATTGTTCAGATAAAGAATTGATGCAGCTTCTATTAGGGATGCAATTTCTAATACAGATTTTACGGTAGTAAGGGTCTCTCAACACTATATTTCCTTCTAAAAGATCGCGATTTCAACATCAAACTATCAAAATTCAAGTTCACAATCAAATTGCTGCAGATATTCGGTCTGCACATTTCATATATCACAAGATCTCATAGAAGTACTGAAATTTGTCTATTTACCATTCTGATATAGCCCTGCCAAATACTCAATGCAAATTACAATATATATATATATTTATATGTATAGATATCACTGGCACTTGCATTACAGAAATAAAAAGTCCAAGGGAGATGTTAAGTGTCAGCAACTGTCAGTAGCAAAAATATTTAAAAAAAATAACAATTTGAATTAGCTTAAAAACATGCAGTAATACAGTAATATTATTTCATATAATTATTAAATGGATATTAATATTCAAAGTTTGTCTTCCGCTATGGTAGAATCAGTGATTGTGTTCTCGGTGTTCATCATAATAAGAATTGTTGGTAATTTATGTTACTGGGGTTGTTTAGCTGAGGAGATTTGGATTCTGTTTTATTTTACGGGTTTGGTTCTATTTACTTTTTTTAGATTTACCATACTAAATATAGAACTGACATGATCACAGAACATGGAGTGAAATGGATCTCTGTTGCTATTTTAGTTTTGGTTCTCGAGATGACCCTGATCATCATAATGCATTGGGCCCGAAATCACTGCCTCTATCACTTTCTTGACACCTTAGAAGTGGATAGCGTTTGAACGAATTGTGTGTTTGTCTGCGGCAATGGCCATAAATCGTTTCCTGCATTTGTGCTTGTCTTCTCCAAGTGAACCTATTTTCCAAGGAATGTAGGTCCTGTCTTGACAGTAAATCCTAGAATTAGGTCAACAGGTGACATCAATATCTAGCAGGTGTTGCCGTCTATATTCAAAATAGATTCCCAAATATTGTGAATATATTGATTCTCAGGTGACTGAGAGAGCTGTTCCGTTTTGCTCTGAACTAGGCTTTGACCCCCCCCCCCCCCCACAAACCGTATAAATGCACAAAAGATAATCTCCCGTTTTTGGTGGGAGAAGCAAAAATTCA